TACATATATATATATATATATATATATAGATATATATATATATATATATATATATATATATATATATTAGTGTAAGAATATTATCTCAAATTTAATGGCAATAACATAACCATTTTAAACATATAGTTTTCAATATTTTAACAATATATTTTTAATCTTCGTTGCGCAACGCGCGAGAATTCGTCTAGTATCTTATAAAGCTAGCATTTTTCCTTGAACCTCATGCATTTGAAACTCCCAATACCATTTTTTCTTGAACCTCATGCATTTGAAACTCCCAAGACTATTCAACTTATACAAATTAATTTATGATTAATTGAAATATTATGATTTGTAACTCTTAAAACTCTTCAAATCATGTTATTTAATTGATGAGTTAAACGAAATGTTTAGCCTATATAAGAAATTTGTAGATTACATATTGCATGTATGTCAACACAAAATGATAGATTATATTTGTAGGGTTTGAAGAGTTATAAATGGTTCCATGGATGTAAGAAAACAACTACAACTTTTCCAAATATAAATTCATGTAAATTCAAATTGGGTGCATGTAAAGTTTTAGATATAAACCACTGTTCAAATTTAGGTATGTTTGTAAATGTATACTTGAGATTATTTTTTAAGTTTATGTGTTATGCATCTTTCTATAATCACAGGATGATGAAGTGATATTGATAATTACTTCTCATGAGCTTTTGGTAAATCAACCATCAAGCTATTTATAATTTAGAACAATTAACTTTGTTAACATGTATGTATCTTTATGTTGTCTCTCTCTTTTTTATGTTGAGAAAAATATATTTTATGTACAAGAGAACATTACATATTGCATGTATGTCAACACAAAATGATAGATTATATTTGTAGGGTTTGAAGAGTTATAAGTGGTTCCATGGATGTTAGAAAACAACTACAACTTTTCCAAATATAAATTCATGTAAATTCAAATTGGGTGCATGTAAAGTTTTAGATATAAACCAATGTTCAAATTTAGGTATGTTTGTAAAGGTATACTTGAGATTATTTTTTTTAAGTTTATGTGTTATGCATCTTTCTATAATCACAGGATGATGAAGTGATATTGAAAATTACTTCTCATGAGCTTTTGGTAAATCAACCACCAAGCTATTTATAAGTTAGAACAATTAACTTTGTTAACATGTATGTATCTTTATGTTGTCTCTCTCTTTTTTATGTTGAGAAAAATATATTTTATGTACAAGAGAACATTATTCAACATGTATTTTATGCTATGTATATACTACGTTAGTTTCTATCGCTTATTTTGTAAATAACATCGATGAAGTTTTTTATAATTTATTTTGATGAAAGGAGTTTACAATTATTATTCCAAATTGTTGGTGATAATGACGAATTAGAACAAATGATTTATTATATGATATGACTTTATTGTTGAAAACCAATAATTATGTGTGTTATAAAAATGAATTCTTTATGTTCTACCAAAACTTATATGGATGTACCAAAATTTAAATGTTTTTATAGTAATAAAAATAAATTATCTTATTATATTTGTGAATTTTCTTTCCTATTCAATCTTTATCGTAAAGGAAAAGTAAAATAAATAAAATATTAAATATAAGTGATCAAAATATACATCATGTGTAACACTTCTCCTCCCCTAACCAACTCTTAACATATATTTTTTTAAGATTGGTCGTAGTACATAACAATTACTATAGTTTTGAAATTCAAATTACCATTTTATTTGGACTGTTCATTCTTTTCTAATATTTCATAACTTTAATGAAAAATATAAAAGTACAATAAAAAGTATGATAGTTTTTTTAAATATAATAATGAAAATTTTCAAATAAGTAGTTTTTAATTAGAAAAAAGTAATAATTGTTTAAAATACCGTAAAATTAAAGAAAAGATTATATTATATTAATAAATTATTTTTATTTGAAATAATAATAATAATAATAATAATAATAATAAATATTCAAATAAATTATTTATAAATTAGTTAAAAACAAATATAGTTTAAAATAATTTTAAATAAAAAACTTAATTCAATTTGATTCAAACACAATTTTTTCTTATCGTATACTTAAAATTACTATAATATTGGTTACAACTTAGTATATTCATTATTATTGTAATGATAAATACTTATAATATTGTTTTTATAACATATAATTGTTAATAGTTATATTACATTATTGGGCACAAATTAAGAGTTTAAAACTCTCACTACAACTCAATAGTTTATTTATTTAAATATAATTATGATTTCAAATTTAATGTACAATGCTGTTTTATTTTCCACTTATTTATTATACACGTTGTAGCTATATTAGTAGTATATAAGTAAGTTTTGATTAAAAAATCATATGTTTGAAAAGATTTGTGATTCAAAATGAAAGAGTTGAAAAAAACGTTTTGTCGCATCAATGGTTATTTTAACACAAATTAATATAACAATGTTTCTATATATCAAATGTATGTTGATTTTTAAATATTCATTTTGAATGATTTATAAGTGTTTAATAAGTTTTGTTTGATGTAAATGTTATAATGTTGTAGCGTTTTTATTTTATTAAAAGTTATAGTGTTTTTCATACTATTTGTTATTTGTTTTATATACAAATCAGCATACTTTTTATATATAATTTCCACAACTTAAAATGTTCTATAAAATCATCAAAAATTGTAGTATTTTTTTTCATACTACTATGTTTTTTATATATATAGAAATTAATATATGTTTCATATATAATTTACACAACATAAAACGGTCTATAAAATTATGAATTAATAGTGGAAATAACTAATGATATAAATTTATTAAAACTAATAAAACTAATATGTTAACTATAGAGTTTGTTTTACTATTGACATTAGTTTTACATGTATAAATATTAAATCACAATTTGTTAAATGCTATTAATTTAATTGAATAATTATATTGACTAGTTTTCAGTTATAAAAGGGGCAGCAGACCCCCTTCTTCCCATACTCAACAATCTTTCTCTTCTCTCGTTTTTCATCCAAAAACTCTTAAGAAATTTCTTTTAAAAAGTTTTGTTTTATTATTATTATTATTCCCTCGAGCTCAGTCGATCTCGATCCCCCGACGCCACCAGCCGCTGTCCTAGAGTCTAGTATCAATTAAAGCATGCTACAAGGACGAGTCTCACGACCCTTTTTTCCAACTTTTATCAAAATTAGGGGGGATACATGTTAATGTATTACAAATCGTTATATATCATTATTATTATTACTGCGTTATAAATATTATTTTCACATAATATATTTTATATCGTTACTCTGCCCAAATATGATAATAGGTATAATACTCTATCGTTACTCTGCTAAACTCTCAGGATATAATATTATGTCTGGTAGATACTTTGCCTAATTTTAAAATATAATCTTATACCTAGTCGTTATATTGGCCAAATCTCTAGGATAACTTAGTACCGAACCGTTATTCTAGCCAAACCTCTCGGATAATATAATACCTAGTCGTTACGCTCCTCTAGGGTAATACCCAATATAAAGAAAATAGTGTTATATCTAGTCATTACTCTAGCCACTTCTCTAGGGTAACATAGTACCTAGAGCTAGCCAAGGGAATAACATTATACCAAATCAATACTCTATTAAATATTCAAACGGAAAATAGTAGAGCGTTACGCCGTCTCAACACTCGATCTAAGTGGATAATAGTAATAAGTTACGTCGTCGCTACGTTCAAATCCCACAGATAACTGTAGTATGTTATGCCGTCACTTGATTCTAATAATGGCTACAACGTCACTCCGCCAGTTTGGCTTTGCCATTAATATCTATTTAATATATATATATATATATATATATATATATATATATATATATATATATATATATATATATAGAGAGAGAGAGAGAGAGAGAGAGAGAGAGAGAGATTAATTAAAACTATACAATGAAATATCAAAACTCTATTTACGTCATAAGTATATAGTTATATAAGAAAAGGTTGGATTGTATCCAACTAACCTATATTGAGTTCACTCTCGGTTAATCTGCTCTTAAAAACACTCATTTCCTTAAGAATACTCCTAAGATATGGACACACTAATAAGTATATAGGATAATTGAGGATTATGTAAGCCCAAGTACCTATAAATAGTAGAATACTATTCTCAAGGAATCAAAATACTTTTACAACTTAACAAAGTTATATACAAAAAGTATTTTCAAAATATAATATACAAAACCTATGAACTCACCAACATTATGTTGACGTTTTCAAAACCACATGTATTACTAGGAAATCAAGAGATAGAAAATTTCACTCCCGAAAGCAGTGGTTGATCGTCGAAGCTACCAAAGATTTATTGTTATATATATATTAAGATTCTGGAAAATTTTAACAGTAAAGTGGAGGATCTTTGTCTCATTTGGTCCCTGTAGTTTTGTATAAATGTTAAACTCCTATCTATTTTGTCAATTTCGGCCCTTCTACTACCCCTGTTTATGTATGTGTGTTTAGATCAGTCTCAGGGTCATTTTATGTCAATATTCATATTTTTTGTGTATACGTTTTGCTTCTCCTTTGCTTCACCGCTTTTTCTCCAATCGAATTCCGATCTGTGTAATCCCTCTTTCCCTTCTTCCAAACCGCTTCCAGTTCCCGATATCTTCCCGATTGTTCTAATTTTAACCTGATTTCTTCTACTTCATCTACTGTCCTTTCTCACTCTTCTCTCAACCGATCATCAGGTGCTCAAAAGTCACAGAAGGTTCCCATCGATCTGCTGACATCGGTTCTCATCTTTACCCTCCTTCTCTACATGCTCCGTTGATGAGTTCGTCGGCGTCTTCACTCTCAGGAGGACGCAATGGCAAACTGGTGTATAGGCGGATATCTCTACTTCTCTTTGTTGATGATTCTCACGAAATCAGTTCCCTCTTCGCGTTTGATGTTCTTCCTTCTAACTTGAAATTGACGATGCTTCACGAATGATCTTCTTCTGCTACTATCGATGGTGTCCAAGACAGGCCTAAGATGTTGGCAAAAAATAACACCTATTTATGGGTTTGGGTCTTTTTTGGTTATTCCTTCACCGATTTCCGTCTGTTCCCGGCCGTTGATTACTGATTTGGGTATGTGTTTGCAACTTACGAATTCACTCTCTCCGATTTGTGCTTGATTTTGGACCAGACGACTACAAATATGTGATTTTTAATTTAGGTTTGTCAGAATCTGTCACAGCAGATCATTTGTTTGCTTTTTTTTTCTGTCGCGTGATGAAGCCTACAACAACTGATGTCGGCTGCTTTTTGGTTAGCGTGTCTTCGCTTTTTGGGTTTACTTTCAGATCTGTTGTTTCTGCAATTGGAGATTGTTTCTGCAATTGGAGAATGCGAGCACGGAAAAGAACACCGAGTGGTTGGTTGTTACGACCGAGGAGGATTTCATCATCGCCACTCACCACCCGATACACTGCATCGCCCTTGATGTTGTAATGGGATTTGAAGGAGAGTTTGACTATGCACCCCAACTGGTCGATCAAATGCTTGAACTAGGGTATGTTGATTTTCAACCAAATTAACTATTATATAAAATCTTTAATGCATAAGATTTTCTTCTGATTGAATCTATTTTGGTCTAATTATATATGGTGTTAGTGGGAAGTGTGTCTTGGCCTCAGAACTACAACGATTCAAATATCAACAAGCTCGCTAAGCATCTTCCTTACTGAAATATTGCTTAACTCGATTGAGATGCAATTATTTGTTATTCCTTAATTGCTACATGTTCAAATTATTGAATTTTTTGTAGTTTTTTTTGTGTTTGATACCTCTATTGTTTTTGTGTTTGATACCTGTATTGCAACATCTTACTTTCATTTTATTTCATTTCTAACCATCGGACTTTGAAAAGTAACTTTTTGGGTATGGTATTTGTGGTAGTTTTCATATTTTAAGGGTGAGACCGCATTCACCCTGTCCTTAGAGGTAATTCATGACAACTTTTCTGTTCATTTTTATGTAATGGTGTTTTTTACTGTTATAAATAACATCGGCTGCTGACAGATTGAGGCCATATGCAGTAATCCCTCCACCAACAGTTGTAGATCGTATGCTCAAAGATCTTTCTCATGTCGGTACATTTTTCTATATTTATATTTATGAATGTTTTAGTAGCACATAAATATTTTCTATGATCATAATAACTCTTTTTTATAAATTAATCGCCATATCTTCTATTTTTAGAAAGAACATTTGGGAATCAGAGAGGGAAAAATGGCAGAGGGCCCACTTGACTGGAATGACTACAAGTCCATGAAATTCATTCGTGCGGTCATTTCTGATTTTTAATAGATTTGTTTATTATTACATTTGAAGCAATTTATGTAAGATTTTGTTTTTGAAATGTTTTTATTTATTTATATTTTAATTTTTAAATAATTTTGATTAATTAAACTTATCATATATGGTGGTGATGCAGGTGATATTTGAGACCTCCAGATTCGCAACCACAAAAGAAATGGAACTCAATGGTAAGTTTTTTATTTATTTATTATTTTTATAAATATTAAAGAAAAGGTTTTATTGTTTATTATTTTAAATAAGTTACAAATGAACATGTTATAATAACTTAATTAAATTTTAGATTGAAGTAATATTATAATGGTAGTATCAATTTAAAAAAAAACATACATATTTCGAATAGATTCCTATTACGTCTTTTATATGCTCTGTTCTTTACAAGGCTAGGAATAAAGGCTTCATTCACATTGCCAAAATGGCTTGCTAAAGCCAAATGACAAGACTACCCTTACCCACCTTTTATATGTACTTCCATCAAAAACTAGATCCTCAGTCAATTTAGCTTTATTTATTTTTATTAAATTAACACCCAACACTTTTACATGTCTTAAAGATTGATGATAGAAATCTCAAATAGGGAGAAGTTGAAGTCAGAGGTTTAAAGGTATGCTTTTGAAAACATATTACCTTCTATCTTCTAATTTATACTAATCAAAATGGACCGTTGATAGTAGTATTGTTATATTTTTGGGGAAATACAAAAAAAAAACATGTACTTTCATTATTGTAGCAGAAAATGCATTATCAGCAGACGTTTGAGAATATATATCCTGTGCCTATAGAATTCAGAAAGAATCAGCAGTGGTATGTTTTTTCACTAATCCATTGTATTTTTTTTTGCCATTGATGTTTTCTTCAAACAGTTTTAAAAGGGTGTCCAAAGACTTAACATAATGTTTTTTTTTTCAAATTCTTCATTTTGGATGAAATGGTTTTTTATGGGGCTGGGGTTGACTTTAGGGTTTGACCTGCCATGGGACTTTTAAAGTTTTAGTGGTATAAGGAAGGGTAAGTGTAAATATGATTTGAGGTAATTCCATTGTTTACGTCTATAGTGTTTCGTATGATAGAACCTTACTTCCATTTGTTCCTATTACAACCTGTACTTTTAACCTTTTTTCACATTAAGGAATGTTACTTTATAAAAAAAATATACCCAATTATAGTAATGGATAGTTGGTTGCTATTTCTTGCTTTTAGCAACATGATATACTGATTTTTAATTTTTAATCATTTTTAGGAAGAGCATATTGTATTGTGTAAGCCGAGAGAGTTGTGCTAAATCTTATGCAAAGAATGAGTTGCATTGCCACACTCACAAAGGTAACAATAACATCTCCATAACTTTATAAAAATTAATAATACTACATAATAATCTATAACCATTAAAAAAAATATTAGTTTTTTTTAACTGTTATAGGCGATGGTAGAAGCTGCAAACCCTGCGTGCATATTGGAAACGACAAAAACTGTACTAGCATTATGTTTGCAGGATAACTGGGAGTTGAGGTAATTTCAATTTCAATTTCAGTGAGTTTGTTTGTCTCTTTCCCTTTTAATTTCAAAGCCAATTTTTTTATTGAACAGGTGGAGACAAGGACATTTGAGGAAATAACCAATCAAGCATCTTTCTCTGTTTAGTGTCGCACCGATTCTGATTTATTTTTAGCTAGATGATATTGAAATTCTGCCCCCCGCTGAGCGGGGGTAACCCTCTAGTTATCATTAGAGTTATGTCTAACTATCAAGACACCTTTTGTATTAGAATTTCTAGTATTTTAGAAATACATTCTAATGTAATATTTTTATCCATAATGGAAGTGATATTTATGTCTTATATTGTTTTGTACTGTTCAATGTATGTTTAATAATCTATGATCCAACGTTCTAACGTCACACAACTCGGCGTTTCTGCTGTCGGTCGAGGGTGTGACAACTTCCCAAAAATGGAAAGATATTTTTTGGAAAACAAGAAGTAAGTGGTTCAAAAAGATCCAAAAATTCCGAAATGAGTTATATAACTTCATCGGACGTTCGTTTCGGGTTTGATTTGAACTAAGATGATGAGCTTGATCTTGGAGACATCATCCACCCGATTGGTAGAGCTAAACCAAAAAGAGATGGTCTTCGCCTAATATATCGGGAGCCGAAAAAGGTGATGACTTATGCAAGGTGGAAAGTATCTTCGAATTATATAATTTGGGTTTCAAAAGTCGAGGTTTCTATCTAGTGGAGCTCAACCACTATCTTCTCTCTATATACCTGAACTTAAATTGAGGTTTAGGAACTTCTTCGGTAAACTCAACCTGAACCACAACCTATTTTGACTAGTGAAACCAAACCTAGAACCACGTTTCTTCATTTTGCATACAAAATTGGTGTGACGAGGAGAATATTTTTTCCCCTCACCGGAGAATTTATTACAAATCGAAGCAAACCCAAACCCAGAACCACGTTGTCAGATGATCTTTCTCGTAGATCAAAGGTGAAACAAGAAGGATTTATCGATTTGTGGATTGATAACTCATAAAAAGCCCTAACAAATTGGGAGATAATCAACTCAAATGATGCATAAAGGAATCACCTTTTTAAAATCAATTTGTTTGGGGTGAATACCTAGACACAATTGAGAAGAATTGATTTGATTTTGATCGTAAGTGGAGGTTTGAGAAGATGAAAGCGATTTGCTTATGGTGTACATATGGTTATTCATTAGTTTTCTATTTTCTTTTTTCAAATTAAAGAAAATGAAAACAATAAAAAAAATATGGAAGTTGAGACTTCAGCCCAGTATGCGCAGTGTACCACTTGGTATGCTCGACGTACTCCGTCTGGACCAACTCTTTATCATTAAGTGCTTATTTCTTAAAGACCTTTCTTCCAAATTCAGATCTAGATCCAAACATCATTCTAAGTCATAAAGTTTCCACTTTTATGACTTCCATGGCTAGAAAAGGTTCAAAAGCTAAAACCCTAACTTATTATTCCATTAAGACATCACAATTCTTGCATGGAAGGAATATAAGGACCAAGATCACATTTTTATGGCTCCTAACACCTAAAAACGTCTAGAAGGATAACTCTTCTGGTTAGAGTAATCCATACTCATGAATACTAAGCTTATGGGACCAAAATGAACAAAACTCAAGGTTAACAAGATCTAAGCAATTAACTCATCAAGTTTCAGACTTTATACCTCCAAATGGTGCTAGAGGGTGAAACACTTCTGAATCCAAGATGCCTTGAGCTTCCAAGATGATTTCCCTTCCTTCTTCTTCATTCAATACCACCAAAAATGCAATCTCGAGCTCAAAAAGGCTCACACAAAGGATTAGGGTTTGTTAGGGACGAAATGGGAGATGGAGGCTCATGAGGGAAATGGTTTTGGAGAGTTAAGGATGATTAAATAGTGCTCAAACCCTAAATATTAGGGTTTGCACTTTTGCCACGTATGCCCTGCGTACCAAAGAGTACGCCCAACATACGCACGAAGTGGCACGTTTCAATTAAGTGACATATGGGACCAATTTTGCAACAAATTTCATTCTAAGGGGTATAAATGGAAAAACAACTGGATCAAAGTGTTACAATTCCCATGGTTCTGTGGAGGGAGGATTCAAAATGGTAAGGCTTCATCTGGGTTAGTGACCATCCCAACCCACACATGTCTTTCTCATTTACATGCTTCAGTATTTGTACCACATGCTTATGTACTTGTACATTAGGTGTTTAATTATCATTTTAGGATTTTAATTATCACTTTATAATTTTAATTATCTTTTAACCATTTCAATTATCATTTTAGTAATGTTTTAATTTTTTTTAAAATATATTGTGTAGGTTAAGAGGGTTGGGAAATATATTTTCCTTGTGTTAAGGGTTAGGAAAGATGAAAGTGAGAGGTGATAGATATAACTAATGTGGTTTCTTTGTGGCAAGAGGTTTGGAAGGGTTGGGATGGAATGAATCCCCTTCACCCTAATATATAACATATTAAATAATGCAAATTGTACATCCGTTAATGCTTTTGATTTTTGTATCTCATAATTCACCTTTTAAGATTCACCATTTCTCCTAAAATTTAGTTCAACAAGTAAATTGATTATTAACTCTTCATCTTAGAATGAAATTCCTTCAAAATTATTGGCATATATATGTGTGTAGGTTTCATCATTTCTGATTGTATTGCACCGACAAGAAGTCAATCTCCTTGAACGCTGAATTTATTTGGAGCTAACCAAACTGACCAATCATTACTCAAACTATTTTCATCCTAAACTGTAGATCTTTGCAATGATTTTGAAGCTATTTTCTAGGATTACAAATGAGCTCACACTTGAAGCATGCAACATCAAATCTTTTTTGTAATTAAGAGAAATCACATAAAAAGTTGAGATGGTGATTTGCTATGGTGGTTGGGGGAGAGGGAGATCTTATCAACTATGGTTGTTAGAAAGAGAGGGAGAGAGAAAGAGGGAGGGGGGATGTGGGTTTGTTTTGGGGATAGGTGAGGTTATTTCATTATAATGATTATATAGATAATAAATAAAAAGATTACAGATTATGTATGATCAAATAGGTTATTTTACATTTGATTTGATATTTTTATACAAAAAAATACTTAGGTTTTAAATTTATAAAACATTTATCTAACACGTCTTAAACAACACTCAAACAAGTAGTGAACCAGATCGAGTATAGTATAGTTGTGGTAAATAAGGGTGTCAAACTCTCGGGGAAGAAGTATGACTAATATAAAATTAAATTAATTGAAATGAAATTTTTAAATGGAGGGGAGGGGGTATTAACTGCAATCTTAAAGTGTTCAATTCGAATTATCAAACAGAATAAAGTAACGACAATGATTTTGTGAATCACTTCCACTTAAACTTTGAATCCCTATTTTCTATGGTGAATTGTTGATAGTGCAATGAAGTAAAAAGAGTTTACCAATTATACTAGAAATTATGATATAATTACTAATTTTTATGATTAATAAGTAACTAACTTAAATGTTCATATAACTAGAAAACTATAAACCAATTAATTGTTTAAAACTACTTATGATTTAATCACGAGTTTAATCTTAATATTCATAAAATTAAACCAAGAATAGTTTGTTGAACTAATTCTATCTTAAATGCTAAAAATTCCCGATGAATATTACTTAACCCTAGGGTTGGTTAAATCACTAGTCTTAACAGTTTATGCTCTAAAGCTATTATGAAACAAGTCACAATGATCAGATTTGTAGTCTATATTATATGTAACTCAAATATAAGTAATAAAAATCATAACTTTAACAAGACAAAATAAGATTCAATCAAAAAGAAATTTTATATCATCTTTAAAAATTTCAAAATCTATATTACACCATAGTACTCTAGTTTATCTACATTTATGTGGAAGAGAATGTTTTTAGCCTCTCATGTTTATAGAAAAACATAAAGAACAAATAAAAGCATATTAGACATTATAAACCTAATACTTTTCTTCAATATTTATTCCACAGTTCTTCAATAGATCACCTATGCAACTCTTCTACCTTTTAGGACGACACAAAGGGTTATTTTTCGTACCTAAGAAGGTTTCTTTTTTCACACTTTTTTGAGATATGAAAATCCCTTATTTATGGGAAAATAACTTAGCGGTGCTAAGCCTTCGTCTTCACATCACTAATCCTTATCGTCATCGATTCTTCTCGAAGTAAAACTTATCTCTGCGTCACTAATCATCTTCTTTTGCGGAGCTAACCCCACCTTTTATGTTATCTTCAAAATTCTTCCTTACCTACTCAATATTTAGCTTTCCTTTTCTTCTTTTATCATTATCTCCAGATTTTTACCCTGATTATCAAATATGAGCATTTTCTATCATATTTATCTTTATTTTACAATTATTCATTTAAAAACACTAATGTAAGTAACCATATTTTATAACTAATTTTAGCAATATCAAAGTACCCCACATTTAGTCTTTGCTTGCCCTCAAGAAAATGTGGAATCATAGAACAAAATGTGTTAAATTCCAAGCAACTAGACTAAAAAGAAAGTAAAATAGAAAAATAAAATCCTAAAATACTCAAAATTTTGATTTTTTTTAAAGAAAAATACTAAATAACTATTGTGAAATCCATGACTTTCGATGAAGTCCATGTAACGAAATTCTCCCCAATCGATCCCAATCCAGTTGGTGCATGGCCACTAGATGTAAAACGTCCCTAAGAGGGTACTGAGCAAACTTCAAAGGTCACCGATTGGTTTCACTCCTAAATATATCCTAAACTTGGAAATTTAAACCTTAATTTTATTATTTAAAATAATAACAACCTATGTAAGCATAACATCGATTCCCATACTCCACACTTCAATTTTACAATGCACTCATTGTATAGACTTACAATTCATGGGTATGTAGTGGCGAGATTGTAAGTGTGTGCAGCTTGATTTTTGTATTATTTAAGCTTCATACTTCATTGTAGATCAGAATTCCTTTGTTCTTGTAAATGAGATTTTCTGGATCATGGTGCAAAAAATGATAGTATCACGGAACGATTTGTCTTTTTGAACTCTTTAATCGTGATTCAATATATCCTTCACGACGTCGTGAAGAGAC